GAACCCCCTCCCCCCCCCCCCTAGGCGTGTGACGTCATTTATGGACGACCCCTTACACAGATGTAGACCCTACCTAGATCTAGAATCTATTCAAACAATACATTTCTATACTAAAGTATTTCAGGCCTTAATTACTTTATTGAAATCTTTGTTTATCTATGCAATTTGCTAATCTCTATAATATATAGAGCAAAGTTGTCGGGTGCCCGATAGGGCACTTCCCGGCGCCGCAGGCGCTTCAAATTTGGCAGGATCTTGCCTTGGGGCGACAGAACACGGGGGCCGGTTGGCCGAAAAGTCTACGATGAGGGGGTCAAAACTGACCTCGACTGACCGGCGCCTTATATGAGCTATAAATCGAAAAAAATATCCACGGAGGAACCTATTCATAACTCCTAAGGTCGTAGACCGACCCTCGGGCGAATTAATTAAGCATTCAAATTCTCAATGTTTTCGAAAGCCTAAGCGAAGCTGGGCAGCATGCCTAGTATATATATATATATATATATATATATATATATATATATATATATATATATATATATATATATATATATATATATATATATATATATATATATATATATATATATATATATATATATATATATATATATATATACTTTAGAAATCAGTTGTATACACTGCTGCTTAAATAAAAAGTTTAAACTAAAGATTAAAATAAACAATGTCGATTATAGTTTTGTTATTTCAAAAATTTAAGACAAAAAAAGATTTTATTAAGTAATTTGCATAGTTTATACATACATAGAACGTTTTATGCACTGTGTTGAATTTGTTTAACTTTTTTAACGACATATTCGATTTTAAAATATTTCATTTAAATTTTTGTCGGACAATAGTGTCTTTGAAACAGCAACACCAATAAATTAGTTGCTTTTTTAAAAATTAACCTGTTAAATAAGCCTAAAAATTCTACTCCAACGCTTTAATCCAAAATACCTGATAATTTAAAAAAAAACTTTTATAATTGCTTTTGGTATAGCAATTTATAAAAGTGATATTTATTTTCTATTAATTTCCCAGAACCCAGTCACCGAAAATAATAAACGTATTACAAAATAGAAACAACACAATAGCATAAAGGTTATTACATAAATATGAATATTAAAAAGATATAAATTTAACAAGAATAGGTTACTGTAGCACAACTACATTGTTATATGGCAACGATAAGATACATTAAAACATTTGTATTTATTTTAAATGTAACAGTTAATAAATTTAAACTAAATTAATAATATAGATGTTTATAATAAAAAAATGGTAGCTTTATATGTGTAGATAAGCCACATCTGTATCAACCAAGAAAGCCTTTTATATATCAGTTTTAAATACTGATTGCATTGGGGATAGTTTTAGGTTCCAAATAGCTGTATGGTGGGCGTCTCAGCATATTTCTTTCGGTTATCGTTTTTGAGATGTTATTCAGTCTATTACAGAACCTACAAATAAATATTTACATTATTAAAAAAGACTGTTGAAAATTATCGTACTAAATATGTTTAAAACAAATATTACATGTTTTCGATGTTGTTTCGTTTATGAGATGTCGTGCAATTATTGCGTAAACTGCAGGTAGTCGTTATTTTATTAAAAACAGATTTAACTATTAAATAATATAAAAAGATTTGAGATAAAGTTAAGCTAAGCGATAAAAGTATAATAATATGATTATATTGTACCAAATACTAAAGGTTGCTTGTCGTGGAAGATATACATCTATACAACCATTTTAACAGGTTGTCGAATTTTATTTTATGGTATCATAAGCATGTAATTTTACAGCTGTATTCATTAGTCACATTTCGATGTCGTTAAACAAGCCTGCACTATTTAAATAACAAAAACGGATTAGAAAGCAACCTATTTGGAGCTTTTATATATATATATATATATATATATATATATATATATATATATATATATATATATATATATATATATATATATATATATATATATATATATATATATATATATATATATATATATATATATATATATATATATATATATATATATATATATATACTTCTCTACATGTGGACCATACAAGACACCATAAAGTAAGGGCTTAGCAGTTTTTACCCCGCTCTCTAGGCTTATCGCTACCAACCACACCAAACCAGTCTGGTGAGCTGTGAATCACTCCGAATGTTTACAATGTAAGGGCTATTAGGGGCAGATAATTCAGCTTTTAAACAATTTGAAACCAAGTTCTCATTGATCTTTTCATTGTCATCTGTAAACTGTCGTCACGGGGGAGGAGGGAGGAGGAATAGGGGAGAAGGGGGGTACTGTCGAATTCACAAATTATGAATTGCTAAAAAGTAGCAAATAAAACAACTAAATAGCGGCGTATGCTTACGGCGCGGGTCGGCTCGTATTCCTATATAAATATAGTCACCAAGTGTGTATTTTTTAAAACTAAATCATTCAGACAATTTTTTTCTCTAAAATATGATGCAGAAAATATGTCGAAACGCTAGTGAGTTAATTTCTCTACTTACTCCTTCACTAAAGGCAGTGCCTTGGGGTCACAAATATACTGCACTTCAAAGTCCCCCAGGCTTTTGGTACCTTTGGTGCTCAGGATTTTAGTGATGGTCAGTGTGTCTATGAGGGGACCTATTTCAGGAAGAGCTTTGATGACGTCAGCCTCAGTACTTGATTGCTTCTATATCAAAATATGTCTTACTTGTTACATGACCTTTGTATAATCGACATAATGCAATGTATAATGTAAATATCTATACAGGTCTATATATATACATATATATATATATATATATATATATATATATATATATATATATATATATATCTAATATATAAAGCTCAGTTCTGTAACCTGTGACAAAATAAAAGTTTGTCGTTGACAGTTCTATGGATTTAAGTGTTAGATTTTTTATCGTGCTCACAGTCTAAATGTACGAGTCAAAAAAATACCATTGAAAGTCTTTAAAAACAATGTTCACTCTATTTACTTAGAAGAATAATTTTCAATTATAAACGCGACATAAAATTTTTAAAAAGTGTATCGACGTTTATAAAATTTCTAAAATTGTGTCGGAAATGTATTGACTGCACAGTTACTTCCCTTTAATAAAAAAAATCCTTAAGAAGAAAGAATTTACATTTTATTACTTTGTTTTTGGTGTTAAGAAATAAAAAAAAAATACATAATTAGCGGGGATTGATTAAGTGCAATGTCGTTAGGTATTTTTAACACTGCCTTTTATTTATTCTATACACTGAACATACTGTTCAATAATTATTTTTTTTTTAAATCAATAACATTTAATAAGCCAGGTCCTACAAATCCTATATGTTTATTTCTTTCCATTTACGGATAAGCTAGGAGTATTATCATTTTTGTTCACTAAATTGAAACAGGCGCGTCCGCCGGCGCCCTTGCACGGTTCGATTTGGCACCCTGGGCTATCATGTGAGCGCTATGCTGCATAGTTTTGTTTTTAACAGTGCGATAGACTATGGATAAAGTCTTTAAAAACAATTTTCATTCTATGTACTTAAAATAATAATTTTTAATTATGAACATGACATAACATTTTTAAAAAGTGTATCAACGTTTATAAAATTTCTAAAATTGTGTCTGAAATGTATTTGCATTTTGTCCTTTAGTTCTCATAACGTCCCTTGATTTGGAAAACACAGTTACTTCCCTTTAATTAAAGACAGGTGAAGTAACAAAAGACATCTTTATTCGGGAACGGGAATTCCCGCAGGTTAATATTTGTTCCTTTCTTTTGCGCGTTCGTTTTGTCTGTCATTTTTTCGCACGGAGTGGAATTCATTTTTGTCGGTCGCACCAAACAAGATGAACGCTGTCTTTTTTTTTACGTCACAATAGTGCGTACATTTTTTTTTAAACAGACGTTACAACAGTACATTTAGCAGTGTAAAGTTTTACTACCGCAGGTAAGTTTCTAAGCTTTTTGTGTCCTATCAACTTATATTTATGCATTTAGATAGATCTATATGTTAGAGATCTAGATCTAGCAAGTCGTTTTTGCATTTAAGTTATGCTTTTAAATAAAATATGTAGTGTGTGTGTATATTTCTTCTGTGGGAATGCAGTTTATCATTAAAGTGGGGTGTCTTTTTAGTTTCCTACTTTCTGTCGTATATTAAACGCTTGCACTACATGAGATTTCAGATTACGGTTATTATTACTGATAAGTGATAGGGTAATTAAGTGTAACATGAAAGTTTGTTTCTGTCGGTATTATGATTAAGGTCGGGGTAACGATTACTTTTAGTCTCCAAGCCAACAGACAGCAGCGAAAAAAATATGGGCATGCTCTACTCAATGAGTATATATAGGTTTCTAAATTTCGTATGTTACATAGATTAATAACCTCATGTTACATTAAAATGAAAGGTTTAAAACAATTAGCTGTTTTGTTGAAATGAGCTGCACATGAAAATTAAAATACTGTTTTTTTTTCAAATTAGACTGTTTGCAGCCCTCTTTACAGCATTGTGTCGCAGTTGTGACAGCCAAACATAATCTGTGTCGACTTTACAGTATGTCGCAGTTTTGACAGCCAAATACCATCTGTGTCGACTTTACAGTGTGTCGCAGTTTTGACAGCCAAATACCATCTGTGTCGACTTTACAGTGTGTCGCAGTTGTGACAGCCAAACATAATCTGTGTCGACTTTACAGTATGTCGCAGTTTTGACAGCCAAATACCATCTGTGTCGACTTTACAGTGTGTCGCAGTTTTGACAGCCAAATACCATCTGTGTCGACTTTACAGTGTGTCGCAGTTGTGACAGCCAAACACCATCTGTGTCGACTTTACAGTGTGTCGCAGTTGTGACAGCCAAACATTACTATCGTCCTCACGTTTTCTTACGACTCACGTGGCGTAAATGGTATGGGCCTTAATGATTGCCAGGTTTCACCATATTGCCTAAGGCGTTTCAGCTTAAACGTTATCACATAAATGCCTCCGAAAAATATTGCATGTTTTGAAATATTGGAGCAACGAGAGGCCAGACTAAAGTATAAAAGAGAGAAAGCTGCAGCATTTAAAGAAAATGAGACCCCAGAATCCAAAAAAGCTAGACTAGATGCAGATAGAGATAAAGCTGCTGCAGCACGAAGAAATGAAAAACCTGAAGTCAGAGAGGCTCGGTTAAAAGCTGTGAGAGATAAAGCTGCTGCAGCACGAAGAAATGAAAAACCTGAAGTCAGAGAGGCTCGGTTAAAAGCTGTGAGAGATAAAGCTGCTGCAGCACGAATCAATGAAAAACCTGAAGTCAGAGAGGCTCGGTTAAAAGCTGTGAGAGATAAAGCTGCTGCAGCACGAATCAATGAAAAACCTGAAGTCAGAGAGGCTCGGTTAAAAGCTGTGAGAGATAAAGCTGCTGCAGCACGAATCAATGAAAAACCTGAAGTCAGAGAGGCTCGGTTAAAAGCTAAGAGAGATAAAGCTGCTGCTGCACGATTAAATGAAAAACCTGAAGTCAGAGAGGCTCGGTTAAAAGCTATGAGAGATAAAGCTTCAACTTCGAGATCAAACGAAACCATTGAAGTTAGAGAAGCAAGACTTGCAACTGATTTATTAAGGCATCGTGTTGCTGCACTACATGAAATTACAGAGAATTTTGAGTCTAGGCTTGCTGCCAAGAGAACAATGACAAATCAAGATAGAAGCGCAGAAAACGATTCTCAGAAGCAAGCTCGATTAACGGCAGATAATTTCCGGACGACCATTAAAATAAATAATGAGAATACTGAGGAGAGAGAAGCCCGACTTGATGCTAAAAGTACCAAAAATAGGCTGAATGAAAGAGAAGATTATCAAACGCAGTTTAAAATGATGGCCCTAAACTACGAAGCAAACATTAGCTACGACAATAACCCACACATAATGATTGGAGAAATGGCAAATGTTTGTCATCACTGCAAAGCTGTCAAGTGGAAAGGAGAGCCACCGGGTATGTGCTGTTCTAATGGGAAAATCAAACTGATTCAGCAAGAATCTCCCCCAGAGCCACTCAAGTCTTTAATGTCCGGCGATACCTCTCACTCTCGGCATTTTTTATTAAATATTAGAAAATATAACAGTTGCTTCCAGATGACTTCATTTGGAGCAACTAAGGAAATAAGAGAAAAAGGGTTCATGCCAACTTTTAAAGTTCAAGGGCAGGTGCACCATTCTATCGGGTCACTTCTTCCAGCAAAAGAAGAGGAATCAAAGTTTCTTCAAATTTACTTCATGGGAGACGAAACAAAACAAGTGAACCAAAGATGTGCAGCTGTCCAAAAAGTCAGAAAACCTATTATTGAGAGCCTTCAGGTGTTTCTACACCAGAATAATCAATATATCCGTCTATTTAAAAACGCACTTGAAAAAATGCCAACGAATGAGTATAAAATAATCATTAAGGCGGATAAAGTGCCACAGGGTCAGCACCCAGGGAGGTTTAATGCACCAACAATGAATGAAGTCGGCATCGTGATGGTTGGGAACGATTTCGAAAGAAGAGATATCGTACTTCATAAAAGAAACGACACGCTGCAGCGCGTCGTTGAAACACATAGGTCGTACGATGCCCTTCAGTACCCCATAATCTTCTGGCAAGGAGAAGATGGCTATTTCTGTGGCATCCCGCAAGTGGATCCTCTAACGGGCACTGCTCTGGCTCACAAGAAAGTTTCAGCCATGGCATTTTATGCCTACCGCATAATGTTGCGAGAGAATGAGGAAAACCACATTTTGAAATGCAGACAACTATTTCACCAATTTATTGTTGACATGTACGCTAAAATAGAAAGCGAGCGCTTGATGTATATTCGTTATAACCAAGCGAAACTTCGAAGTGAAGAATACATTCATCTAAAAGATGACATTAACTCCACGGATTTTGACCCGAATCAAATAGGAAAAATGGTGATACTTCCGTCATCTGTGACCGGTAGTCCACGCCACATGCATGAATATTCTCAAGATGCCATGGCGTATGTCAGAAGGTATGGAAGACCAGATTTATTTATCACATTCACGTGTAACAAAAGTTGGTCGGAAATACGGAATAATTTAATGCCAGGACAGAACGCCACTGATCGACATGACCTGATTGCTCGGGTTTTTAGGCAGAAGCTGGTAAAAATGATCAGCCTAATAACCAAGTCAGGCATATTCGGAGAAACTCAGTGCTGGGTGTACACAGTTGAATGGCAAAAGAGAGGTCTTCCCCACGCACATATTTTGGTCTGGTTGCAAGAGAAAATTAGACCGAATGACATTGACAGAGTCATACGTGCGGAACTGCCAAATCCAGTAGAAGATCCCATCTTATATGAAATAGTTCTAAAGCACATGATCCATGGACCATGTGGGGTCCTGAATAGAATGTCACCCTGCATGGTGAACGGTCATTGTTCGAAAAGATATCCGAGGAGTTTTTTGGACGAGACCCAGACAGGAGCAGACAGCTATCCGCTTTACAGAAGAAGAACGCCTCAAAATGGCGGATTCACTGGAAAAATATACACCCGCTGTGCATCTGGCTATCAAGAAATTGAAATAGATAACAGGTGGGTGGTGCCCTACAACCCTTTTCTATGCCGAGTATTTCAGGCACATATAAATGTAGAACTCTGCAGCAGTGTGAAGTCCATCAAATACATCTGCAAGTACATACACAAAGGCAGTGACCAGGCTGTATTTGAACTTAAAAAATCTGGAACCTCAATTGATGAAGTTACTGCTTTCCAGTTAGGCAGATATATAAGTAGTAATGAAGCCGTGTGGCGGATTTTAGGCATGCCAATTCATGAACGTGAGCCAACAGTTGTGCATCTAACCGTACATCTAGAGAACGGACAAAGAATTTATTTTAAGCCGGACAACCTTCTGCAGAAAGTTAATAGTCCACCAGCAACAACCTTAACTGCATTTTTTGAACTGTGCCAAAATGACCCGTTTGCTAAAACTCTTTTGTACTGCGACGTTCCTCAGTATTATACTTGGAACAATTCAAAAAAAAAAATTATTAGACGCAAGCAGGGTAAAGCTGTTGAAGGTCACCCAGAAATCCGGTCTTGTGCGGCTCTCGGTCGCGTGTACACCGTACACCCATCAAATGATGAATGCTTTTTCTTGCGTTTACTCCTGCATGTGCAACATGGACCTACATCTTTTCTCGATCTCAAAAATGTGAATGGACAAATGTGCAAGACGTTTAGAGAGGCATGCGAGAGACAAGGGCTCTTAGAAAATGACAAACATTGGGACACTGCGCTTGAAGAAGCGAGTGCTACAAAATCACCCACAAAGTTAAGACATTTATTTTGTCTGCTTCTGACATCTTGCTCAATGTCAAATCCACTCAACCTGTGGGAAAAATACAAAACTTCTATGAGCGAAGATTTTCAAATCAGAAGACATACTACTTTTAATGTTGATTTGAATTCAAATCAAGAAAGTTTCAACCAAACTTTATGTGCGCTGGAAGAACACATCGCTTCAATTAATGGAAAGTTGCTTAGAGAATATGGTCTACCCTCACCTGACCGGGTTCTAGCGGCCTGCTCCGAAATAGTTCGCGAAACTAATTACAACGTCTCAGAACTAGCTGAATACGTTTTAATCAATGAACCTCTTTTGCTACCAGAACAAAAACTAGCATACGAAACAGTTTTACAACGTGTTCGACAAAACGAAGGAGGTATTTTATTTATCGACGCCCCTGGAGGAGGTACCGGGAAAACATTTGTTTTAAATCTCATTTTAGCAAAAGTGCGTCAACAGCAAAAGTTGGCCATAGCTGTAGCGTCATCGGGTATTGCAGCTACGCTACTTACAGGAGGCCGCACAGCGCATTCAACATTTAAGTTGCCTTTGAACATTCCTCACTCAGATGTTCCTATTTGCAACATATCTAAACAATCAGAAAAAGGAAAGCTGCTTAAGCAGTGTGCCATTATCATCTGGGACGAATGCACAATGGCTCATAAAAAGGCACTGGAGGCCCTGGGTAGGACACTCCAAGACATAAGGTCAAATAGCGCCGTGATGGGCGGAGTCGTTTTAGTTTTGGCTGGGGATTTCAGGCAAACTTTGCCCGTAATTCCCAGATCAACAATGGCCGACGAGCTAAACTCCTGCCTCAAGGCGTCCTACCTCTGGAATGATATAACAGAGCTTAAATTGAAGCAAAAAATGAGGGCAAAATTAAGCGGCGATTCCTCTGCTAATCGATTTGCTTTGCAACTTTTAGATGTCGGAAACGGCAAAATAAAACCCGACAAAATAACCGGACTTATTGAATTTTCAAACGATTTCTGCAAATTAGTGAGAACCTGTGACGAACTTAAAGACAGCGTCTATCCTAATTTAGAAGCAAATTTCAAAAATCACCAATGGCTTTGCGAGCGTGTAATTCTGGCTCCAAAAAATGAATTGGTTTTCAAGCTTAACATAGAAATTCAAAACTTGCTACCAGGAGATACCAGGATTTATAAGTCTGTAGACACTGTGCTGGATCCTGACCAGGCTGTACATTATCCGACCGAATTTTTAAACTCCCTGCAACCCAGCGGAATGCCTCTGCATGAGTTGACACTTAAAGTTGGATCTCCTATTATTCTACTAAGAAACCTTGATCCGCCAAAGTTATGTAACGGTACCAGACTAAGCATAAAAAAGCTGTATTCACATATAATCGAAGCTACTATAATGAATGGATCTGGGAAAGGGGAGGATGTTTTTATACCACGAATTCCACTAATTCCCACAGACCTCCCTTTTGATTTTAAGAGGTTACAATTTCCCGTTCAGTTGGCATTCGCCATGACAGTGAACAAAGCCCAGGGCCAGTCAATGTCCGTGGTAGGAGTCAATTTGGAAACCCCTTGCTTCTCTCATGGACAATTGTATGTTGCCTGTTCGAGGGTCGGAAATCCAAACAACCTTTTTATTCTAACAACAGAAGGAAAGACGAAAAATATAGTTTACCAGAAAGCTCTTTTATAGACAACTGCACCAAAATACAAGAAGATATACCATTTTATCTAATATAAATATCCAAAACCTTGACTTGCAGTTCAACAAATTCTATTTGCGCTGCATGAAGTTCGAATTTAGAACATATCAGGGCAGATAAAATTGTCAGAGCAATTTCTGTACGTTACATGTGTAACCAATGAATTAAAGTTTATCAGCTATGTATTTATTCAGATAATTTGCCTTATCTACTAATCAATAAGTAATTTCTTTGTGTAAATTATGAATTGTTTCTTCATTTGTACACTGTATATAAGTTTTAAGTAATACAGGTTTTTAAAGCAATGTTAAAGAACATAACTTTTTTAATATTTTAGTATTGAGTGTGAGCTCATGTTTGCTGTTATAATGTTTGGGTGATTTAGGTAATGTCAATAGTCTACACAAAACACTTTTCTTTCTTTTTAACTCAATGTAAAAATGTAAGAGTTAAGAAGGTGTTTCTTTATTTTTTCTATTTTATTTTTAGCGCATGGATTGCGTATTTGAAAAAAGAAAACAACAGATGGTTCTAAATTAAGTAGAATAAGCTGTGTCGATTTGGAAACCAAAGCATTGTGAAATAAGTACTAAGCCGATATTTTCACATTCTTCGTGCCATCGTGTGTACGGTTACGGGAACCTAAAGAGAATTATCTATGGAAATCTTATTTAACAGTTAGTAGTAACTTACCTCTAACCCTTAAACTAAATCATACCTATTTATGTATATACCTTAGATTTTTGTATATTATTTTGTATTTTGATGCTTTAATTTGAAAAGCACTTTATATGTACGTTATTACATAAAATGTATTAAAAGCGATCTGGTTGTAATGCGTATGGTTATGTTTCTACAAAAAATATTAAAAATACATCTAATGCAAAATGATACGTATCTTATAAGTAAATGCATTGTAGCTATTTTAAGCAAACAAACAAACCTATATATTTGCTATGGGTGTAAAATGTAATCTTTGGGGGAACATATAAGTATTTAAATCGAAAAAATGGTGGACATTTAATAAAAAGAGACTTGCTACGTATCATCTGTAAATAATAAAGACTGAGTAAAATAGCATGAAATAACACTCATTTGATCTAACGTAGAAATTATTCAAATTCGGTAAAATGCTCACTATTAATGTTATTACCGTTGATTAAACTAGGATGTATTTCATAGTTACGCATTTTTGATAATAAAAGTTAACTTTAACTTAGGTAATACACAATATGGAGAGCTTTGCCAGCATTTATATTTTGTAATAATAAAGAAACTGTAAAATGATTATTTTAAAATTTACTCTTATTTATATATATTAGATATATATTTATGTAAGTTATAATATAAGCTGTTTTATTGTAGTTGAACGTTAATTTAAATACATCAATTTTTCGTAAAATATCTGGATTAAAATTTTGTTGATAAATTATTAGCAATCTAATATATTAAAATCTAAAAATTGAAGTAAATTGTAAGCGTATTTCATGTAAATAAATTGTATATAAATCTTTCCTTTCGCAAACTGAATGCAAATTTTTAAATTATTTTTTTATCTAAATAAATGTTTTTTTCACAAGATTTTGTCAATGTTGCTCATTGAAATAAATCTATATAATTAACCTCGATGCATGCAGTAGTCACCTTGCTCTTTACTTACTTACAGGTTGTTTTCTTTTGAACTGGCCAGGGCAGCGCCTGGCCGGGACGGCTAGTATATATATATATATATATATATATATATATATATATGTATAACTATGAATTTTATAAGTCTGTTCACATATCGCTTTTTTTTACTTTTCTTTTTTACTTTCTCGTATATACGAAGTATAGAGAAAGTCTTGTAATCGTGCAAAAAAAAATCGAGATTTTTACAAATCTCGACGTTTTACACCTCACTGATACGGAAAAACATAATTTTGCAATCTTGTCCGTATGTCTGTGTGTCTGTCTGTCTGTCTATCTGTCTGTCTGTCTGTCTATCTGTCCGTGTGTAAACACGATAACTTGAGTACCGTTACAGCTAGGTTGATGAAATTTCATATATAAGTATTTTATAAGTATTTTATCAAAATCGTAGATCCGTATCAACGTTTGAGCGATTTCCGATAACCGGAAGTGGTACTTTTCCTACTTTGAATTTTTCAAAAGCCTATAACTTGAGTACTATTTCAGATAGTTAAATGAAATTTCACATGTAAGTAAAAGATCTAATTCTCTACCTTTTGTTAAATTTTGAGTAATTTCCGTTGACTGGAAGTAGTACTTTACGCTACTTCCGATTTTTCAAAAAACTAATGTAAATTTTAAAAGTACTAATAATATTTCGCACTATTATGCGCTTTTTTTATTTGGCGTTCACTTGGTGTGCAATTAATTTGTCTACGAGATTTTATTCTATTTTTAAAACTTTAAGTATTTAAAATGGATTAAAAATCATGTCTATAGCACGAGTTCCCATCCCCTGTTATTTTATATAGGAATATTCGAGAAAGTTTAGGGGAGATCACTCCCGGTTTATTTACAAATATTATGTAGGTTTATTGTGCATATAGTGTTTGTTTAGCTCACAGTGTTTTTTTGGTGGTTCTCCTATAAGTATGGATGGATAGTTAGGTGGGAATCCATACTGATCATACTGTGGGAAATTGGCAGCCGCGTGCCATACACTAGAGATGTAGATGATGCAGTGACCCATTGCCTGGGAGACCCTCAACCAATATAAAGCCAAATTCTATGAGTATATAGTGCTAGTATTAATGCTCCGGCTGGGAGTAATTAAACAATAATTTATGATAGTTTAAGGTTTAAGCAATTGAAGACAATTTTTTTAAATACACAAAAAAAAAGATAACTCCATGGCAAATAAATTGAGTGTCGACAAGCGAAAATTTCGGGAGACATGCAAATATAATTGTGAACTATGAACTGTTTGTAATGTAATGTTTTATTTAGTTGCTCTTATACACGACGATGGTTTTGCAAGCTTTTCATGCAACCAGACTTCTTTCTCATTAGTCTGGCCACTGTTTAAGTTTACACAAAGGTGAATTATGTGTTCTGAAGTTTCAAAGATCTTGTTTCATATTTTCATTTAAAACTTACAAGGATTCCAATTCCACCTGCTAAAAAATTTCTTTCTTTGGCCAATTCCTTGACCCAGTTTTGAATCTCATAATCAGCCTGGAGCACCTTGCTGTCCTCTGAAATAATTAGGCATTGTTTGTTTAACACTATACAATATATTTATATATGTATATATATATATATATATATATATATATATATATATATATATATATATATATAACTTATTTATGTATTTGACTGTGTATATTAACTTCAATACATACGACAGGTAAAATGGCTCATTGAAAATCCGCAATATTCAGTGTCATAGCAGTTTATTTCTGCTATTATGGTGCACATAATTTGTAGACCAGCGTTCTAATAATTTATAACGAGATAAATCATTTCTGTTTGCTTCCATCCAAGGAAAACTATGTCACACAATCCCATATTACTAAATGTATAATATGAATTATATTTTCTAAACACTAAAGTGAAAATAAGAAGTACTGTAGTATAGGGCTAGGTAGCCCTTGACGTAATCACTGATGGCGTTGTACAGCAAGAGTCCGTCGTCTCTGTAGGGATAGTTTGGGAGGATATCTGGGTCATAAACCTGGGTCAAAAACATCACAGTGTGAATGGCGAATGAAAGGGGAGAGTTGTAATAGAGTTTGGTTTTTTAAAACATCATTTCATCAACGATATAAATAATTTTACAAAATAATCATAAAGTGTAAAATGTAACAAAACTTGATTTGGAGTTACGAAACATTTTTAATCCTTAAGAGTTATTAACAATGTATAAAATTAGATCAATGAAGCTATTTTTGTAACAACACCCTTTTAAATGAAGTGGGAGTGATCTCCCTTAACTTCCTTGTATTTATCTTATATATATATATATATATATATATATATATATATATATATATATATATATATATATATATATATATATATATATATATGTGTGTGTGTGTGTGTATGTGTGTATAATCCTCTACGTGGGGACCATGCGAGACACCACCACGTAAGGGCTTAGCCGTTCCTACTGGTAGTATTTTAAAACAAAATATTTTCAGTCGCAGCATTGGTAGGCCTACTGTCGAATTCAGAAATTGTGAATTATGAAGTAGAGAACAAAACAATTAAATAGCGGCGTATTCTACGCCGCGGGTCGGCTCGTATTCTTATATATCATAAAGGGTGATGGCACTTTAAGTGCAATCGGGTTTATAGAAATGCTTTTATTATTTAAAAATATTTTAGGTACTTAAAAATGTTGCGATCCAAATACCTAATTAACTTATACAATATGTGTATACTAGCGGGGTAAATTATTACAATATAAAGGGAACATTAATAAATGTTTAAAGTTACTAAAAAATTTCAAATAATTAACATTTATGTCACAGTTCATTGTTATTGAGTCTTTACCTACATGAAAAAATTAAACAAGTCGTCTCTGAAGCAGAGATATTTTTTTTTAGGCAATCGGAAATACGTAAATTACTTCTTGCAATATTCGGAAATTACTCAAAATGTTACAGCTTGAAGAAAACAAGATTTTACACACATGCATAGCATTTGGTTCACCTAAATAAAACGGTACTTACGTTATCGGTATTTTAGAAACCTGAACTTGAGCAAAATACCACTTTCGGTTATCGGAATTAACTCAAAAACGTAAAATAATCTGAGATCGTATAATAATATTTACATTCCATCTTTTTTACAAAGAAATCAAGTATCGCATCAGGTTAATGGAAATCGTTCAAGGGTTTATAGAATTCTGCATATACAACGTAAACGGCGCTCTAGTTCTTGGCGTTTATGAAACTGGAAGGAGAGTATGTGCCACTTCCGTTTATTAAAATCGCTTAAAAGTTGATACATAACAATACATTTATATAAT